AGCTTCATGGCATGAACATGATAAATGTTCAATTTGCCTTATTCATCTTCGTGTGGGTCAGAAGTTTAAAACGTAATGGATTTTAGGTGGACGAAAACGGCAAGATCTTCCGTTTAAGGCGTGAGTGCTCGTCGCCGACATGTGGTGGAGGTGTCTTCATGGCTAGCCATCAAAATCGCTATTACTGCGGTAAATGCTACCAGACTTTGGTGATGACCGATCCTAAAGACAAGGCGGCTGCCAGCAAGAAATAAATTTCGTTCTGACTGATTGATCAATTGATGTGTTGGAGAGCGTTGTTTTGATTGTATATTTGATTTTACTGATTAATAAAAATTGTTGATTGTTGTTATATTGTTTGTTTGCACGGCATCAACGTAAGAACCTTTTATTAACGCGTTTGTTCATTTTCAATGAATGAAGCAGATAAGAGATCGTAGGGTCATTGACGATAATGTAGTGTCGAGCCGCTGTGAAGGGAGATTTTCGAAAGTTGAGTTAATGTAGAGTGAAGATAAATAGATGATTCGGAGAACGTGAAGTCATGTTGCAATTTAACTTTATTAATATCATGCACTGGATGGGTGATAATTGATTGTTTGAAAGTGAAATGAGAGTTTTGAGTTGCAATCGAAGTGGATTTTTCAATCATGAATTTCTTGAATGACCGCTGGTTTTGCTCCTGATAATGCGAGATTTCTTAAGTCTTGTTTTCTCCCTTGATTTTGCTGAAAGTTTGTTTTGAATAATTATTGGACATTTTGAAGTCCTGTTGGTTGTTTTCATTTTTTTTAAATCATCAATTTTCCATCGCAATTACTTAAGGAGTACAACTAACAATCGTGCAAAATTTGAATGAGCCAGGCACGATGTGCACAACCCCTAAATTGTCTAGCAAATACATGATAATGAATGAGTGAGTATCGTATTTCTCAGACTATAAGGCGCATTAAGGGAATAAACCTTTCGTCACAATTTACCAATAAACCCTAACGTAGCGCCGTACCACACAAAATCGCTCTGGGGTCAGTAACCAGAATTAA